CAAAAGATCAAGTTGAACGATTCAACAAACAACAAAATATTGCCCAAACAAACGATATGAGATCATTAATTGTGTGAACAGATTACTTGAAAAGGAGCAAAAGAAAATTGCAAAAGTCCAAATCCGGGACCGAAACGTTGTAGTGTTTTTTTTTAAATAAAAACATTGGCCAGTGTAGGTCGTTTAAAAATTACATATCATTGGTTTTAAACTACTGGCGATATCATACCTATTTGTGAGTGTTACTTTGGTGTTTGCTGGGGGCGTTTCACTGCGACGTATTTATCGGAGCATTATCTATACGTTAACGGAAATATATTATAATAACGTTGATATAAGAATTTGTTCTAATTTGCTCTCGAAAAATGTTATCTGGTCCCGTTCACTCTGCGAATTTCTCACAAAAATAATGTTCCGTTAAAAAAATATCTGAGAGAATTATTTTATTGTAAAGTTTGGCACACATAGAACATAAATTAAACAGTCATTTGCAGAATAAATTAATACCGATTCGTCATTTATGGATGTAGCACTGATACAATAAGGTCGAATCGCATATTCAGACTACATTGATACCGATCTATCAATTGTGAATGCAGTCCGGTTATAAACCGAATATAACGTTTTACCATCTCGAAAGAGCTGGCTGTGGCTATGTAGTTCCTACGTCCATGATAAAATGGATGCGATGGCGTTGCGAATCAGCACGATTTCAGAACTTAATACATCGTTGGCATGACCTCAGTCTTCTCTCTGATTCTACAATGTCAAAATTCATTGAAAAAAGTACATTTTATTTCTATGAAAAACGCACTTGACACTTTCTTACATTGTTCATGTCTTCTTAAGCATAAATCATCCCAATTAAGGTGTCATCGTGTTGAGGATCCAGTCCATGTAGTAGGTGACTCTCGTGTAAACTCCGGGGAAGCCGTCGATGCCGCACTCTATCAACCCGTAGCTGACCACGCCGTACTGGACGAATCGCACCGGCCCGCCGTTGTATATACTTTCCGCCTGCAGAGGCCCGCCACTGTCTCCCAAACAGGAGTCCACTTCAATGTGGCCGCCGGCACATAGCTGCTTGTACCAGATGTCCGAGAACTGTGAGTACGCTTTTTCACACTGCTCGTTATCCACCAGCGGCAGATTCACCTGCATAAGAACCTTACTACGCTGGCCCGACTTCGTCGCGCCCCAACCGGTCACCACAGCCTGTCAATCGGAAGAGAAATTTCGAAATAGAACCCAGCAACCCACCAACTAAGAGTTACATAATATAAATGTTATAATTTCCCACTCAACAATATAAATGTAATACGAGATACGTTGTACATAACACATCCTCAGAAAGAATTTCTGTTACTGAGAACAAAAATATTTCTCACAGCCTCATTTGGTATAAAAATAAGACACTATCAAAATAAATTCAATAATTCTTATTCTCCTCTATCGAATTAAAAAAGATCGACTTACTATATTGAGACAAGAGTAACTTACATAAATGTAAGTTTATATATTCTTGCGTTTAGAATAAATTTTCCCTCCATCTTACAACGCACCAAGTTTGCACCACGATATTAGACAAAAGACGATACGTACTATCATTTTATCCTAGATTTTAGAATTTTTTTGGTGCTATATCGATCCTATTTTATGATACTTATATTGAAGTGCAATAGCATTGGATCCGGAAATTTTTTCTGTGGGTGCAGTTACATTGTTGAGTAGGAGATCAGTAATGTTGATGTTGCGTAACAGTTAGTTTCTAAAAAACGTTTCCTCAAAAAATTTTATACATTATAATCGAAAAGACATTCGAAGAGACTTATGCACTTGATGTTATAAACACTTCGAAACATTCTTCTTCTCCTTTCTTCTAATAAAGAAAGAAGGAGAAGAAGGACGCTTTGAAGCATCGAGTGGACCGCGGCCTTAATTGTGAAGTATTTCAATTTTTGAGAAAGAAAGAAAGGGGGGAGGATTCCGTGAATTGTTATTTAAAAGTTGCTTTTTTAATGCTTTTTAAATCAGCGGCAGATTTGAATATTTTGAAATAAAATCAATGTGACTTAAAAGTCTGTTCGGCTGCTTCTTTCTTTGTTACTTTTCGTCTGGAATAATTGAATAGAAATGAATGTATATTGATTACATTTCCTCACCTCATTGTTACGACTTATCGGCCTCGAATTACCGATAGGTAGACAAATCGGCTTGATATCTCGTGGACTGAAGTTTACGGAAACATTCAACCTGATAAGCGCGATATCATTTTGCATTCTACTAGTTGTGTAGTCCGGATGGTATTGGATGCTATCTATGCCGAAATCCTGATAGTTTGAACAAAAAACTTCCGTTCCGTTTTTGTCTCTCTCGCAGTCACGTTCCGTGGTTAGGTCGTGTTCTCCTACTCTGACGCCTATTACTTGGAGACCTGGAGAACAATATGATTCAAATTACACGAATTTATATAAGAATTTATTTTATCCCTGATAAAAGCATTTTACTGAAAATATAATTAAATTTTGCTGAAATGTATTTCAAAATCTCTCTTCAAAATTTTTTCATTAAAAAGTAACAGTTTTTAGTTCAATCCAGTAAATTTCATAATATCGAATATTATATAATTTTTCATTACTTTTGAACAATATACTTTAATTTTCCTTATATTTTACAATACCTTGAATTTTATAAGGCAAGTTATAATTCATTTTGAGATACATTTAATAAATTTTTAATAACATTCATTTTACTTTATATCAATTTTATGGTATTTTCAGCAAAAGATTTCAATCGTGTTTACGGGTATAGGAATTTCTTTTACCATCTGGAAGCTCGGTGACACAATGAGCGGCGGTGAGGATGTAGCGCGAGGAGATGAGTGTACCACCGCAACGGAAATCGGGATCTGATTTGCTGATGTTGCTGGTGTACGAGATTAACGCCATCCATGGATACTGGAGGACTCTGGTTTTCTTACCGCCGAATATTTTCTGTGTGGCGAGGGGTCCGCATGCTACATGATCCAATAAACGTAGATTCGGATGGTTTGTCACATCTGGTGGGCCTTGATTCGAGGCATCTGTCCTCATCATCGGTGTCGATGTTTCCTATCGCAAAAAAATTAATATTTAATAGCAGAAGAAATGGAAAACCGATACTTGAATTTAACTTTTGCTCGGAAGCAAAAATTCAACTATCTCGTAATTAGTTAAATTTCTAAAAAAACTTTATTATCATCTAAGAACGTAAAACGTCACATTCCCAAATGATTGTCCGCGAATTAATATTAAAGATCGTTAAAAATGGGAGAATTGTGCACAAAAATATTTTTATTGCTTTATCCGGAAAATATATCTGTAAGATTAAAATAGGTTCAATTAAGATTAAATTAAATACTTTAATTGTAGTAAAATTTCTGATTTCATTGTTACAGTGTAACAGAAAATTTTATAAATTGCAAACTTCAACGAGTGAAACTTCAGCTCGATGTCTTGCTAATACCACAAGATCGAGATAAAGACGTTCGTTCGTTATAACAATCGGAGTTGAACTCCGACCCACGTATCGGGTCCTTATCAAGCGAGTGAGCTTGTGGTGTTCATTTAATGCAGGTTATAGCAGACTCGCAGGTCTTTGTCCGATGCTCATCGGAGTTGAACTCCGATTGTTATAACGAACGATCATCTTTATTCTAACTAATTATATTCTCCGGACAATCCTACACTGACAATGACCTGCGAGTCTGCTAGAACCTGCATTAAATGAACACCACAAGCTCACTCGCTTGATAAGGACCCGATACGTGGGTCGAAACGTCGCACCTTATGTAAAATTGTATAAAAAATTTTTACAAATTCATTGCCAGTTAGATCGACAATAAGTTTACTCTTAATTTTTTCATCACTGGTGACTTAAAGCATATCCCTCTATTATTAGAGATAATCATCCAAAATGCATTAATTCGATGTCCTCGACGAGAACATCATCGGACAATAAATAAACTTTTATTATTTCAAAAACTTATTTACAAAACTAGCACTAAATGAAAAACAAAAGGGAAATAAAATCGTTAAGTAATACATAGTTGCAATAATTTATTCGCAAAAAAAGTGTGTTTTTAATTATTGTAATTCCTAATCAGAATCTCTGTTTTTGCATTCGAGCTTTTTCCTGTTAACATTTTAAAAACTTAGCTTCATATAATATTAAATTTAATTCTCTTTCTCGAATTGGAAAAATATGGATTATATTATACACTACTAAAAAAAAATAGGGAACACTTTTCATACCCTAAAAATTGGCCTATTGTCAAACCACTGAAACTCGGCGAAAAATAATCGTAGACACAAAATTAAAAAAGCATCTTAAAGCTTGAAGTTTCAACTTTAAAACTCTGTCAATGATTTATTTCGATATATTCACCTTCCACGTTCTGTGCTTTAAAAAAGAATACATTGTTTTGTTCCTTAAAATTACGTATTTTTGACACACTGTAGCTCGATAAAAAAATTTCTCTTGACAAATTTGATGCAAGTTCCACAATCTACAACATTTTACCTACCAAATGCTTTTTTTAAAATTTTCCTACGATTTTTCTTGACCGAGTTACATGACTTTGAAGCGAACCATGCATTTTCTTGAAAAATGATGTTTACCGCCGGTATTAGCGTTACCCAATGTGCACCACGTGGAGGTTGCCGGTCAGATTGTGCACATCGCGCGTGTGTGTGTGTGTGTAAATTAATACATTTAGGTTCAATTACCAGGTTGCAGCACACTTTCAGGTCGTTGCCCTCGAAGCCACATTGCGAGATTTGAAGAGTCTCCACTGTACTTGCCGAAAGCGGTTTAGGACTTGTCGGAATTGCTAAGGTCGCCGGACAATTGCGAATGTTGATACAGTTAGCACTTGCTTCTTGGCATCTCTCTGTAACAGTAAGTTATTATTTCATTTAACCAATCTATTTCTCAGACAGCAATCTTTTAAAAACAACATTCGAACTTTATTATGGAAGTTCAGAATGAATCCAGCATATCGCATTTCAAATGTACTCATGTGGAAATAGTCTGGAGATAAACATTTGTTTTAAACATTTATCTCGGAAAGCATTTCGGTATAAATGCGAGAATTAGATGGATTTAATTTTTAATATGTTAATTGCGTTAATTGTGTTGTTTAAAATAAACGATTGATTTTTTAATTTGGCCAAGAAAAGATGCTAATGTTAGAACTGACGGCGAACTACTCACGTGCATGGATCGTTGTTAACGTGAGGAAAAGAACTAGCGTGCCAATAACCATCATGTTTATTTGTGGTATCGGCATGTAATTACTCCCTGGGAATAAAGATCTTGTAATCACTTCGCTGTTTTTCTTGTTTCTTCTTTCTCTCTCTCTCTCTCTCTCTCTCTCTCTCTCTCTCTCTCTCTCTCTCTCTCTTTCAGATCAGAGCGAGCCAGGAATTTTCTTGTTTTGCTTTGATGATTCTCGTCGATCAACGCGAGACTCCACACTTCGTTGGAGAACGTGAGAAATCCCACTCGCCACTGTCTCGGTTTCTCGAGTTGAGATCCAAACCGGTACTAATCGGCTGCTCGTGAGTCGCCGATTAACTAAGCTCCTTAATTAAGCTCCTTCACTACTTGCTGGGCTTATTAAAGTTGTCGGTTCGGTGGGGGACAATCGTCTGTAGCGAGTCATCGGTCGCTGTGATTCGTTGCCGATTATAGTAGACGATAACTTATTGTAACGCAAATTAGCAGCTGTAGGGGTGTCGAAGCATACGTTCCGTTCGTAGAAATAATGTGGCAAGTCTGCACAAGGTTGATCGTTCTCTTGAATATCGATTCAAGATCGATTTCCAACTGCAAAGATTTCATGAGTTTTATTTAAAAACTAATTTTTATTATGTATGTTATGCTATTCTATTACCTGTTTATCTCTGAAAGCGTGATTTATTATTTGTTTAAAAATTTTAGTGTTCAATTTACATTTGTATAGATCTTTCAAATTTTACAACTTTATCATTTTCGATTGAAAAACGAACTTTAGCCATTGCACGTACATATGTTTCTCTATAAATAATCTCAATAAATCATGTTATTCCACAATTTAGTTCCGAAATCAAGAGAGCCAGATAAATAAACATACATAAAAGATACATAAAAGTTCCATGCAACAGTTTGCATACTGCAACCATGAGCAAGATAACTATAAAATAAAATATATATTAATTTAAAATTAATGATTTAATAAATATTATAAGATAAACTTATTACTACAAGGTAATATATAAACGATGTTCGGCGGACAGAGGCTCACGAATACTTTTCTTCGTCAGAGGCTCTTTAACTAAATTTAACAGTTTCTCGAACTGTGAGATGGTCATTCGGGTATATTTAAAAAATTCCTCGTGGTCATTATTTTTCAGGAATTGAAAAAGAGTATGAAAATGACCTTTCTCTTTATGACAGCATAAAGAGAAAGATTGATTGCTGACGCGTTTTTTGATGTCGTTCCGATGTTCTTTAATACGTGTCTCTAGAATCCATAATCTAACAGCGACATGTTGATTTGCAGCTCACTCGCTTGATAAGGACCCGATATGTGGGTCGACACGTCGCACCTTATGTAAAATTTTATAAAAAAATTTTTACAAATACATTGCCAGTTAGATCGACAAGAAGTTTACTCTTAATTTTTTCATCACTGGTGACTTAAAGCATATCCCTCTATTATTTGAAAAAGTAAAGATATCTTCAGGAAGTTCTTCGTAACGTCGAAAAAGTATTTATTACTGTACACTGTAAACAAATTTCATGTAAACTTATAACTATTATAGTGTTTATTATAGTACTTTTTAAAATAATTTTCCGACAAGTATAAACAATTATTTACACAATAAAAGTAAGAACGCTAATCGTTTAATGGTATTGTCGATTAATTATCTAAAGTACTACCATGAATTTGTCAGTTATCAGTTGTATTCTTTAACACCGAGTTGTATTTTTTACAAAGAGGTTCCCAAAACTCCTGACTGCCCAATCGTCTCTACTCTCTCTTACTGTAATGTGATAACGGTACGATAGGTCGAGTTCTTCATTGACCCTGCATGATAACTCTGAAGGCAAATAAAGACGCGAATAATTATCGATCGCATAATTTTGCAATCCGACAGTTTGGAATCTTATATCATGTTTTCCTCAACAGAAGGAATTTCCAGGAAATTGATTGGTTTGTTTATACACTAACTTTAATTCATAAGAAAATTAATCAATTTCCTGGGAATTCCTTCTTAAATGACTTTGTCAGAGAGATAAAATGCGGATAAGAAATATTATAAATAATGCTGCAATTCATTGATTGATATATTTTCAGAATAATATAAATCTTATGCGACAAGCATCAAGGATTTGACCACATGACGATGTGTGATATAGTGTTAATTTTTGACATTTTACCTGTCCTTTAACGGCCCTGGGCTTAACAGAGGCTTTAACTTGAATTAGAAGTACAAAATAATGACTTGTATCGTATTACAAGCCTCGAAGCGCAACTGTAGCGATAAGCAAGACGGTTTTACTATACATATACGTACATTTCAGTGTTTTCGGCGAGAGTATCGAAACTTTAGGTTCAGAACAACAGTTGCTATCCCACCAACCTGAACTTAAAAGCGTAAATATTACTGATACGAGTGAACAAAATTTCTGCACTATTCGATCGAAAAATATTTCTGTTCTTTTTTACCTATTCTATTATTCAGCAGGTCTCTCTGAAAAATGATATTTCGCTAAAGAAATCAAATTAACGGAAAATTGTGGATACGTAAGGCCCGGTCTACAATGAGTCGTTAGTCGTTAGTCAGAAGTCGCAACTATATGTTGATCCTTTTCCTTTCTGGGTGGAAGAAAAAGGACCGACATACAGTTCCGACTTCTGACTAACGACTAACAACTCATTGTAGACCGGGCCTAAACGAAAAATAACGACGATATTAGTATTTCTTGCTAATTTGTTGTTCTCGAAAAATATCATGTAGAATTGGTCCCGCTCATTCTGTGGATTTCTCTGAAAAATGGCTCAGCAAACAGAGTTCCATAACATCATGTAAATATAATACAACACGCATGTGTTACATTGATGTGGATTTTGTGTAACTGTTACTTTCCGAGAGTAGGAAAAAACGCATTTACGCGGTGCTCTTCGCGTTCCAAACCCTATCTCCCTGCTAGAGGTTTCCAGAGAACTCGAACGCTTATACAAAAAAGAAAACTCTTCCCGGATCTCCTGGAGACGCCGTCGGGAGATCCGGGAAGAGTTTTCTTTTCTGTATAAGCGTTCGAGTTCTCTGGGAACCTCTAGCAGGGAGATAGGGTTTGAACCGCGAAGAGCACCGCGTAAATGCGTGTCACTGCTACTTTGGTGATAAGTAATCTGTTCACACAATTAATGGTCTCATATCGTTTGTTTGGCCAATAACGCTATTGCAGTAAGTTATTAGTAAAAAATGTTTGCACTCCTTGGTTGAAGAGCGCAAAGTCAATTGAAGTTGCATCGTTAATTGTCGAACACGAATAAAAGTGTCATGAGACGTGTGTTGGACGAGAGAACAAATTGAACT